TACCGGTTCGTCAGCCTGCTCTCTGCCCCTGGAAGATCACAGAGTAATTCCTCACAGAAACTACTTCCAGTATAAGTAAGGATAAGAAACTGATTGGGAAAAGGCAGCTTAGGTTTACGTAGGGCAACTTATGCCCATCCACCCTCATAGCTTTCTACAGTGAGACAACTATTCATGTGAATGAGTGGAGAGCAGTGAGTGTTGTTCACCTGGACTTAAGCAAGCTCTTTGCCACAGTTCCCCGTAGAAAATGGTTGAGGTACGGTTTGGATACGTGACAGATAAGGTGGCTGAATAACTGTCTGGGCTATTGGGCTTAAAGGGTTGTGGTCAGCTGTTCAAACTAACTGCTAGTGAGGGTTTATTTATTTGCATTTCTTGGAGATTGATGCCTGAGCCAATAGTGCTCAATGCCTGTTTTATTAAAGACCACAGGTCAAGAGACATGGTCATGCTTTGCCACAGGCTCCTTCCTCTCTCCTCTCAACCCACCTCAAGCTCCTCCCTATGGGACTCTCTCACTCAGCTACTCTGCTTGTCTTCAGAGGCTTTTTGAGCCTCTCTGCTTATTTCTTCACTGTCCTATATACTGTACCTGCAGTGCAGTTATATCAGTTTGGCTTCTACTTTGTGGCTCTCCAGTCATACCGTCTGTTCTCAGTGGACTCAACATTTCTCCTTCTTTCTTGGTCTGTGTGAGACTACTCTCTGCTTTCTCAGCATTCCTTCTGTTTGCTTTTTTTTTTTTTTTCACCTCTCCAAGGCTACTCTATGCTCTGGGTGTCTTTCTTGCCTGCTTTTTTCCACCTTTCTGAGGCTAGTCTATTTTATCCTTCACATTTGCAGGCTTTATGCCATTTTCTTACCATCTCTGAGACTACTCTGTCTTCTCAGAGGTTTTTGCAGGCTCTTTTCTAGTCTCTCAGGCTCCATAACATATCTCTGAACTCTGAGACTCTCTCAACCTCTTCACTTCCTTCACCTCTCCAAAGCTGCTGTGGTTGCCTTTTAGGCTTTTGGTCTGTTCATTCCTTTCACTGAGGTGACTTTGGATCACTTTCAGTATTTCTGCTCTCATCGTCTGCCCCCCTCCACACTTTCTGAAGGTCAGCTGGGTTTTCTGGGGTGTTTTAATCTCTCTTTAGGGTTTGTGGCATCTCAGCACAAGGATGCAGGAGAGCTGGGTTAAGAAAGATCACCTAACACATATAACAGCTCCTTGAACAACAAATCAGGATGATGTAGACTTTCAAGGAAAGAATGCATAATGATTGCTTCTACAGCTTCCTCCATATCTCAAGACCAATGCCCATTTGAGGTGGACAGCCATTGCCTCCAGATGTGATGCTTTGTAATAAGCAGAGTATTTCCTCATTCTCTTCTCTTCCCTCTGGGCAACAGTATTTTTGTGTGTACAAGTTTGTGGATACCACAACATGTTTTGGCGGGTTTTTTTTTTACAGAATGCTTATAATGTATTCCTTCTTTGGTTGTTCTGTTTGTTTTCTGCTTACTTTCAGTTAATGCGAGCAGAATTATATTTCATTATCATTTACATTATTATTCAGTTGCATGAATGCATCATTAAATTATTAAAAATTAATCTATTATGAAATGGCAAATACTAAAAAATCACAACTTTTTTCTCTAAGAGAATGTATAATAGCAGTTTATCTTCCTTGTCTTATGCTACTTGATGCATTCAAGGGCAATGAGCAGATATTCATAGGGACATAGACAAGCTGGAGGAATGGGCTCAGAGGAACATTATGAAACTGAATAAAGACAAAAGCAAAGTTCTGCACCTTGGAAGAATTGGAAGAACCTTGGCAAAAATAAAGGTTAGGAAATGACTAGATGGTGAGGAGCCCTTCTCAAAGTCATAACCCTGTGCATGGAAAGCTGGATGTGAGCCAGCAGCGTGCCCTGGCGGCACTGTAGGCCAACTGCAGCCTCGGCTGTAAAATAGCAGGACCCTAGCCAGTAGTTCAAAGGAAAGGATTACTAGCATTTGTTAAACCTCTTTTAGAATACTGCATCCAGTTTTGGACCCATCAGTACAAGAAAGGCAGTGATGAACTGAAGCAAGTTCAGCAGATGACACCCAAGACAGTTAGGAGGACGGAACACTTGCCCTGGAGGGCAAGAGAGCACTCTCCCTGGAGGAGAAATTGATGGACCTGGACTTGTTCAGCCTGAAGAAAAGTCTTGTGTGGCAGGAATTAACGGCAATCTCCCAATACCTACAGAGGATATCAAGAAGACCATGCCAGACACTTCACAGTGGTGCATGGTTGAAGGACAAGAGACAGAAGACTTGAGCTTGTAATGAGAGGTGCCAAATGGGTATCACAGAATCATAGAATGGTTAGGGTTGGAAGGCATCAGCTAGTTCCAACCCCCCTGCCATAGGCAGGGACACCTTCCACTAGATCAGGTTGCTCAAAGCCCCATCCAACCTGGCCTTGAACACTTCCAGGGATGGGGCAGCCACAACTTCTCTGAGCAACCTGTGCCGGTGTCTCACCACCCTCATAGTAAAGAATGTTTTCTCAATGCCTAATCTAAATCTACCCTTTTTCAGTTTAAAACCATTCCCCCTTGTCCTGTTGCTATGTGCCCTTGTAAAAAATCACTCTACAGATTTCTTGTAGGCTCCCTGTAGGGTACTGAAAAGCTGCTATAAGGTCTCCCTGGAGCCTTCTTTTCTCCAGGCTGCACAAGACCAACTCTCCCAGCCAGTCTTCATTGGAGAGATGCTCCAGCCCTCTGATCATCAATGTGGCCCTCCTCTGAACTTGCTCAAGGAGGTCCATATCCCTGTTGTGCTGGGGGACGCAGAGCTGGATCCACTACTCCAGGTGGGGTCTCACAAGAGCAGAGTAGAGGGGCAGGATCGCCACTCTCAACCTGCTAGCCATACGCCTTTTGATGAAGCCCAGTATGTGGTTGGCTTTCTGGGCTGCAAGCACACATTGCCAGCTCATGTTCAGTTTCTCATTAACCAATACCCCCAAGTCCTTCCCTGCAGGGCTGCTCTGAATCTCTTCTCTGCCCATCCTCTAGTTGTGCCTGGGATTGCCCTGACCCAGATGCAGGACCTTGCACATGGCCTTGTTCAACTTTATGAGGCTGGCACTGGCCCACCTCCCAAGTGTGTCAAGGTCCCTCTGGATGGCACTCCTTCCCTCGAGTGTGTTGACTGCACCACACAGCTTGATGTGGTGAGGGCTTGCTGAGAGTGCACTCAATCCCACTGTCAATGTTGCTGACAAAGATGTTGAACAGGATCAGTATCAACCCCTGACAGACACCATTTGTCACTGCTGTCCACTTGGACATCAAGCTGTTGACCACAACTCTCTGAGTGCAACCATCCAGCCAATTCCTTATCCACTGAGTGGTCCACACATCAAATCCATGCCTCTCCATTTAGAGACAAGGATGCTGTGCAAGATAGTGTTGAATGCCTTGCACATGTCCCCATAAATGATGTCAGTCACTCTTATCTCCCAATGCTGTAGCCCCCTCGTAAGCGTCTCTTTGTGCTGAAGGGGGCCAAGGTTGCAGTCACCCCCTCTATCGACCCCCTCCAGAGCTGATCCCATTTGAGTTCAGGGACACGGCCTGACTATTATTTAAAAAATACACAACGGCCAGTAATAACAACAGGAATAGATTACTCAGAGAAGCCCACATAAAGCATTGACAGCATCTCTTCAAGAAAAAACAATGTTCAACAGATATTCTGCAATAGCTAAGATGGCAATAGAATTCTCCCTTACTTCTACCCTGTGATAGATTCATAAAGCAAGGCAACATAGGTATAGTAAGTCCTCACAATCTTTATGTGCTTTCCAACAATACTGATACCAAATACCATGGCTGCAGAAAGATAATCCTGCTTCCAGAAAACGCCTGTATTCCAGAAGCATCATGTTCATGCCAGTGAAATACCTGTGGTGATTCACTACAGGCTGCTTAACTTTTTAACTCAGAAAAATAACCTTTTCTAACTCTGTATTAAGAGGCAAGGTTAGCACAGCCAGAGTCTGAATACATGTTCTTCCTGATATTCCCTTTGAATTTGAGCCCACTGGCTTACTGCTTTAGCAGGCATCACTGCCTGCTTTTCCACTCTGCAGCTCTCATCCTACAGTCTCTGCACCAAAAGTCTGGGGTGGGTTGCACTCACGACCATGGCCTCTCTTACTAAGCAGTCCTAGAGCTGCTGCTGCTTCTAGATCTCAGTTGCAGCATGAAGCTGCGTGCAGGCCCCAAAGGCCCAGTGGATGAATGCCGGCAAAAGGCGGCAGTTCTTATTCCCTCTTCCCATTAGCTAATCATACCTCATGATTGTTACGAATGGTCACTTCTGCTGCCGTGCCTGACGCTAACATGGTACCAGCTCTTTAAAATACTATGTGTACAGAATTAAATACATAGACTGGCTCAAGTATGTTTTTATTTCACCGGAAAACTATCGGTTGTAAAAATTCCTTGGTAAAATCCACTGCTATCCAGAAGAACATCCAACAGTCAGAAGAACCAAAAACCACTGTGGGGTACAGAGCAGCGAGGGGTGCTTCACCACAGCCTCTCCTCGCAAAAACGCTACCTACACCGTGCAGCACCGACAAGACTGCCAGAGCCCAAGCCCGAGCGGCTGACAGGAAACAGCCACAGCCACAGGGCTGCCACAGAGGCGGGCCGGCGGGTGCCCTCGGCACAACAGAACCCGCACCCCCTCTGCAGCACCTCCTACTCCGCTGCTCACTGGCACCCCAGACCTCGTCCCGCTCTCTCACGAGCCTATCGAGCGCGACCGCCTACAGCCGGTAGCCCGCCCCTTCTGCCACCGATAACGGAAGCGCCCGGAGGCCGAGCGGTGACGCGACCTGTGCGCCTCCCGTGGCCACACGCACTGCCCGCCCCCTTCAGCCTGCTCTCCGGGCGGTGTTTGGGGAGCGAGCTCGGGGTGGGCGGCCGATGCGGTGAGTGCGGGCGGGAGGGGGACAGGGGAAACGGCAGCTCCTTTCCTCTTTTTCCTCCTCAGCCCGTCTCCGTATAACGTGCGCCCAGCAGGCCGCTTCCCTTCCGCTTCCTTCCTCTCCTATCCCCTCCCATCCCTTCCCTTGTCATCCCCGCCGGCGGGAGCGCTGCCAGGTTGGGGAAGGGGGTGGGAGGCGTAGGCCACCATCTTTTGGGGACGCCTACGGCCCAAATGGAGAGGTGCTGGTGCAGTGATTAGACTGACCTCCCCGCCGTGTCCCTGAACTCAAATGGGATCAGCTCTGGAGGGGGTCGATAGAGGGGGTGACTGCAACCGTGGCCCCCTTCAGCACAAAGAGGGTAAGTAGTGATACAGTTGCAGACGGTATTGTCGTCTGTGTCCCATACTAGCGTTAATGCTGTTCTTCCTTCTTATTTCCTCTGCTTTCCTGCACGTTTACCTCAGCCAACCCTCCCGCTCAGATGCCTTGTTCTCCGAGGAAGAGACAGAGTCCCTTAGTGTTTCCAGCAGGGAACTTTATAAATTGTCTCAGCAACACAGCACAGTCTGCCAAGAGGAAGTACACAGCACAAGAAAGCAAGCGAAATAGACCATTGGAACGATTCTATATTTTTTGCCATGGGGGTGGTGAGGTGCTGGCACAGGTTGCCCAGAGAAGCTGTGGCTGCCCCATCCCTGGCAGTGTTCAAGGCCAGGTTGGATGGGGCTTGGAGCAGCCTGGTCTAGGAGAAGGTGTGTCTGCTCATGGCAGGGGGATTGGAACAAGATGATCTTCAAGGTCCAGCCCAAACCATTCTGTGATTCTGTGCACTATAAAGCATGTTTATTAGTCAGACTTTAAAGTACTTCTGGAAAGAGAGGCAACGCATTACCAGTAATAGTAAAGCCATTCAATCACGGTACAACATGTAACAAACATCTGTTTAGAAGGATGATTTTGCTGTCAGAGTAATTGTGTTTAATTTGAGCTGCTCTGGTAACTCCTAGACAGACCAGTAGAAACAGTGCTGATAATGGGAGTTGAGAGGCTTTCTGTTAGTAACATCATTGCTAATAAAATTCTGATTGCTGCATCTTTGATAGTTGACATCCTGACATCCAGAAAAACCTACTGAGATTTTTCTGCTCACTCTGCATTCATTCAGTGTTTTTGGACACCCCCCCCCCCCCCAAAAAAAAAAAAACAACAGAGAAAACCACAAAAAAAAAAACCAAAAAAAGCTTCTTACAAAGATCGTGGGTTTGATTTTTAAATTCAATGAAAAATTGAGAGATTTTGGATTTGCATCACCTATAAGAACAGCTCTTGTTTTTATCGCTTTACATGTTCAGGCCTTTGGGTCATTCTTCCATACTTCTAAGTATCCTGGAATTTACCTGCTTACCCTAGAATTTGTGACTAGGGCAGTACATGTGAATTGAGTGTAACATTTTTGAAATACAGAAATAACTGTCTCTTTAGTAAAAGGTTTATTCTGGAGGCTGTGTTGTCCCCAGAGAAATATAAGTGTGTTGTCAGGGCACAGATAAACCTGCCCTCTCAGTCTGTAACTTGTTCAAAAGGCATTATCAATTTGATTCATCAGATTCAAGGCCCTGGACTAACATTGCAATGGAGGTGAGGTTTCAGTGGGAACATGAGGTCGCAAAATGTTACCTACAAAACCTGATTTGCTTTTCTTGTAGCTTAAAAAAAAAAAAAGCATAGACTACCTCTGCCTTCTCTCTGTAGGAGAGAACATAGCCAAGTATTCATTGGAGAGGAAGAATCAAGTTGAAGTTGAAAGTGTATTATAAAAAGTTGTTGGCCAGTTGTGCTTTAACACCTAGCAAATGTATTTTGACTTTGACAAATGACTTTGTATTGCTGTGATGAATAAAAGAGATGTTGGACAGATGTTACCTGAAATAAGAGTTTTCTTACCTCTTTCAAAATATGTTTCCATGAAGCTGATGTCCCTTTATTGTAGTTCTGCTTGAATGTGAGGGAGCTATCCATGTATGTAAAATTGTGTAGGGTTCCATTTGTACTAAAGTAGGTTTGCCCTCAGATTCTGCAATTCAGAGATGTGGAAGTTCACTTCTGATTTCACTGTTTTCTAAACAACTAGATTTTTGTCGTCCTTTGGAGTTTTGATGATCAGAGTACAGTCTCTAGCTGTTACCACAAAGAGGTTTCTGGGGTTGTTTTTCAAACTAGCACACAGGGCTAGCTTGTTAAAAGTAAGAGGGAAAGGTGGGGCTAAAAGGGCCTTTTCCTCTCAACTGCTGCCCCAGTAGCACTGGCCACCTGGTGCCAACTTCTAGTCTCCAGAATTTGCCTTCCTGAGGTCTCTACTTTTTTTTCTGGGTTGAAGTGTCCAGGAAACAATTAATGAAGCATTTGAGGTATTAACCGGACATTATTTGACTTGTTTGGGCTGAAGCGTATTGTTCCACTTCTCAGAAGCAAAAGTTAAGTTGAAGAAATAGTTGGGAAGAGTGCCAGTCTTGGTTAAGCAGTTAGAGTGGATGAATTGCTGATCTTTTCTAGTAGTGGGGCAAGCGTCTTTCTCTGAAAGATTCCTCTCAGCCTACTTAGAATTTTTGCTTGGGGGGGATATGTGGCAGTCAAAGTTGACATGTTAAGAGATATGTGCAAGTAGAGTCAAGTACTTCAAGAGTTTTCAGGATTTTATTGATAAATGACGGAGTTGAAATCTGTCAGGGACTGTCCTTCTGGAGGTATTCCAGCTTTTGGTAAGCTTGAGCTCGTCTAGCTGCTTTTTAAACTTCTGTAAGTTTGCAGCATCCACAGCATCCCATGAAGAGAAATTCCATAGGTTGCCATCAGTTTTATGAAAAATTTTCTCTCTTTCACTTGTTATTAATTTAACATGTGCAACCTTTGATAGGTGTCTCCTTCTTACATTGGAAGAAAATGTGATTTGTTATTCCCTATTCGGTTTTGTCGTGGTTTTGTAGACCTCTGCTGTATCCTTTCCTCAGTCCTGTCTTCCATCCTGCAGAAACCCCAGCTATGGTAGTAATTGCTTGTGGAATGCAGTATGGAAGCCATTCTGGCATTTGGTGTGAAGCTTCTCTGTAGTTACAAGTACAGAGTACTGGTAATTTTATTGTATCATTTTTTAAGAGGGTGCATTAGGGAGAAGCAAACCTGCAGGCAGTTGAGGAACTGTGGACTCGAACAGTTAAATAATTCCATTCTTTGTGTTAGGTTTTTTTTGCTTGGTTGGTTGTTTTTTTTCCTAACAGCTTCTGATACCCGCTCTGATTTGTTCACTGTTGTTGAGTTCCTAGTAGATGTTTTCATCACGTTGTAACCCCAACACCTCATTTGTGGGTGGTATGTATGTTGCATATAGAAATGGCCTTGCTCATATGTTCATCAGTGTGGCATTTAGCACCTCTCTGATCATTTAGAACCTATAGCTCTTGCCTTTACTGTCACACTTAGATGTTTGAAAATGTTTAACTAACTTAAAGAGTAATACTGGATAAGTAGCAAACTGAGAATTTTTCTCTGACAAAGAGAAAGCAAATCTGCCTTCCACCTGCTGTTTTTTTGTTTTATTAAGATTGCAAATTCACTTTATTTAATTTTTTAAATAAATTTCTCAAATAATGCAGTTTTTAAATACTATCAAAACTTTTCTTTTGTTTGTGTGTGAATGTTTCAGGAAATGCTTCAAAGAACAATAAAAGATTTTTTTTCCAAAGATGGAAAATTCAATTGAAGAGATGGATACCGCTGATACTCAGTGGGGCTGGTTTTATTTGGCTGAGTGTGGTAAATGGCATATGTTTCAGGTAAATACCTATGAATTTACATTAGCTGTGATGCATTCCATGCATCAAACTACCTATTGCTGTTTGTCTAAATGTGCTTTTTCATTTATTTTGAAGACTGATTCAAACAGTCATTGCTCTGTTAGCAGTGAAGATATTGAAAGGAGCTTCCGAACAAACCCACATGGTTCTGTTTGTTTTACTACTGCAAAATTTAACTACACGCTAGACTTTTCAGGTGTGTATCTTTTCATAGAGTAAATTTAAATAATAGAAAGTGCCAGATACACCAGTTTATTTGTTCATTCACCAAATTAATGTCCTCATACCTAATGCAAAAACTTGTGATTCTTGTGATTGGAAATGTTGTCTTTACTGGAAAGTACATAGTAGTTTTTAGAAGCAACTACCCTGTTGCAATTTTGTAATGTAGTTTATTAATAAAATAGCATGTCTTGTTTAGTAGCACTCCCATCATGTTGCTGCTACTTACCTTACCATACATCTGTGGGACTGGGGAGTTTGAACATTTTTTCTTTAATGTGCAACTGCTTGTAAGCTTGAAAACTGTAGTAGCTTGAAAAGCTCTCGGTTATGTTAACTATAATTCGATCTGTACTCTGAGGGTTTAGTTTGGGGTTTGTTGTTTGTTTTTTTTGTCGTTTTGGTTGGGTTTTTCTTTTTAGCTTTTCCATTCAAAGATTGTTTATTTTCTGATGAAATTATGAAACAGCTATATGCTTAAATATAAGCCTCTTCCAAGACAAAGAAAATCATAGTATTACAAACACAGAAAGTGGGCACTGGGTAAAACAGCAATGTACTGGGAGTTAAATTAGTATGTAACAATACAGTGAGTTTTGTGTTTACCTGTGTTGAAATGTCTGTTTTAAAAAAATTCCTTGTTTTGCATCTGGAATAAAAGCACTAAGTACAAATGCTGAAGAACTATTTTTATGTTCCTGTTTGTAGGTCATGATGTCTTATAAGGACAGTAGTAACATGCTTTGTCATCCTGGTTGTATTAAAGCCAGTGGAAGTTTTGCCAGTGATTGTTAGATGGATATTTTAACAGTAAACCTTTTCTGTAATATTTGTGCATTTTGCCAACTTGTGTAAATGACAATGATTCTAAAGCCAGTATTTCGAAACATTTATCGAAAATGCTAATTTGTTAATTGTTGAAATGGGATTTCCTGTCAAGCAACTGTGTAGTATTGTTATTTTTAAAACTACACTTACATGTTTCGTATGTTATAGATGAATTCCAGAAACTTTCATCCTAACTCTTGTTTTATGCTTAGCGATGAAACAAACCAACCTAACTACCCTTAAGCAACGTCCAATAAAGCGAGCTCCCTTTTCTATCAGTACTTTCAGGTAAGGAAATAAAAAGAAGACACCTTAATTTTATTTTATTGGTGATTCTTCTAAGTAAAATGAAACAAAAATATATTTTATATTTGTTGTTTATTTACTTCCCACATCAAGCAATTTGAAAGGTGAACCAAGGTGGGAGAGCTAGTCACGTGAAGAAGGAAGACATTTCAGAGAAGAACATCAAAAGAATTTTTAGGGTGTTGGTTTGTTGTTGTTTATTTTACCTCTGGAGAAATTAAGGAACTTGCAGTGTGAGAGGCAAGGCATACTGAATACTGATAACTTTTATCAAGGTACTTAAAGCTGTGCCTAAATCTAGCCATTGGAGTCCCTGTAAATACCTGTTGAATCACAATTGTTGTGGAGAAACAGCAGCAAAATACTTAGTAGTTTGTTCCATTTTAGTAAGGACTTCTTAGTATTATGGTAACAGCAAAAAAAGAGAGTTATATTGCCTGTATGTTTTAATCCTTTACTCTAAAATGTTTTGAAATTACAAGAATTATGCATCATAACAACCAGATTGTTTTATGAGTCTAATTGCAGTAGACTGTAAGTTTCTTACCATCTGATAAGTCATTAGATGTAAAGCAGTGCTGATGTAAATCTGATACTCAATACACTCTAAATTGATCTGTGCAGTGATACCACCACAGGTAAAAATGACTATATGGAATATGTGGACTTTTTTCTCTAGCTGCTTTCTTCAGAAATAATTTTAGTTCTGAATTTTAGTCTGGTATTTTCAAAAAAGAAAACTGTTACTTCTAGTGAGAAATGTAACAGTAACCTTTTTACACTGACATTCAAGAAGGCATGTTTTTTTTGAAGTGTCAGCTGGTTTTTTGATGGCTATTTGCTGAAGATTGTATGCAATAATGTGGCAATTCACTTTTGGGTTTCTGTTTCTCCAATAACTGCATTCAGTACTCTCTTTCATGGTATAACACTGTTCTTTACTTTCAGAAGATTGCTTCTTTTAGTCCTGGCTTTAAGGCTTAAAAGCTGTTATGTATATGGTGCATATGCTTAAAACACACTTTTTGGGTTTTTTTTTTGGTTGGTTGGTTTTGGGTTTTGTTTTTTTGGGGTTTTTTTTTTTTTTTTTTTTGAGCATGGGGTTTTTGTTGGGTTGTTTTTGGTTTTGTGGTTTTTGTGGGGGTTTTTTTGTGGGGGTTTTTTGGTTTTTTTTGTATTTTTTTGAGGGGTGGGGTTTGTCGATTGGTTGCAGAACTTTCTGACCATCTCTTCCAGTTTATCTTCTTATCTTTTGCTGTAGATGACATATTAAAGCTGCTCATTATGCTGGTTTACTTACAATAAGCTAAGCCAGAATTTGAATACAAAATAAGACCTCTTGCATTTAACCTTACCTGTTGACAGCAGCCTTTGTTTCAGCTAAGTAGTTTTGTGTAAGGTTTTGGGTTTGAGCAAGAGTTTGACAGGAAGAAAATGTGTCATGGCTTTGAAGTGATGTATTTTTGCTTTGTTTTGTTTTGTTTCAAGTTTCATCTGTGAAAATGAGGCCATCCCTATGCCTTCCCACTGGGAGAATGTAAATACCGATGAGCCATATCAGGTAAGAGTTGGTATGGAAGTTGGTGAAAAATACATGATAATGAAATAATGCATTGAATTGAAATTGTACTAACCTCTTTTTTTCCAGCTTATTCCATTGCAAAAGAAAACAAATGAATATAATGAAGTTTCTAGTCTCTTTGGAAAAACAATGGATAGCCACCGAATTAAAAGAATTAAGAGAATACAAAATCTAGACTTGTGGGAGTTTTTTTGCAGGTGAGATTATTTCTAAAACCAACAGTTTTAGTATTATTAATGGAGCAAATCTTGAAGGTGTGCAGCAGAAATATGTTTTATTGCTTTTATTATTAATGAAAATATGTGTAACTTAAGATTTTTAGAATTTTCTTATTTGTCATTCCTCTGTATTCAGAATTCCATTTTCAAGACTGTAGCTTCTGCAGGTGCAGAAATGTAATACTTGTAGAAATGCATTAGCTGTAAGCGTAGCACAGACAAGACTGATGCATTAAAGATGTTCAGGATGTCCATGTGGTAGATGCCTATGATACTTAACAATGCTTTTTGTAAAATAATTCTTTGACAGGCTTGTATTACTGTAATTTTTAGTGAACAAAGCAAATAAATATTTGTGGCTTGTTAAATTTTTTAACTTTCATGAAACCAAGGACAAAATTAAGTGTCCAATTAGCACATTTTTGTGTTCTTTCTTTAATGTGCTACAGAAGCTTTTTCTAAGTTCTCTGCTTTTCCCTCTTTATATTGTGCTGGCCTGGAAGAAGTAGGAAGTCCTGAGTTTTGCTTTCACTTAAGTATTAATCTTAAGCAGTCATATTTGACAGAAGTTTTATTTGTGTGGCCTCTAAGAAGGAGTTCATATCACAATCTGTTTTAAAGATGTATTATACTCTTAAAACCAACTGAACTAAGTTAAACAGTGAGGAAATAACTTAGGCAGATGTATATTAAAAATTTACATAGATATGAAATTTTGAAAGATATCTAATTTATTGTTACTTTAAAGGTGTAACATGGAATAGTTAGGGTTGGAAAGGACCTTAAGATCATCTAGTTCCAACCCCCCTGCCATGGGCAGGGACACCTCACACTAAACCATATCACCCAAGGCTACGTCCAACCTGGTCTTGAACACTGCCAGGGATGGAGCATTCAAAACCTCCCTTGGCAACCTATTCCAGTGCTTCACCACCCTCACAGTAAAGAATTTCCTCCTCACGTCCAATCTAAACTTCACGTCCAATCTAAACTTCCCCTGTTTAAGTTTTAACCCGTTACCCCTTGTCCTGTCACTACAGTCCCTAATGAAGAGTCTCTCCCCAGCATCCCTGTAGCCCCCCTTCAGATACTGGAAGGCTGCTAGGAGGTCTCCATGCAGCCTTCTCTTCTCCAGGCTGAACAGCCCCAACTTTCTCAGCCTGTCTTCATACAGGAGGTGCTCCAGTCCCCTCATCATCCTCGTGGCCCTCCTCTGGACTTGTTCCAACAGTTCCATGACCTTTTTATGCTGAGGACACCAGAACTGTGCTCAATACTCCAGGTGAGGTCTTACAAGAGCAGAGTAAAGGGGCAGGATCACCTCCTTTGACCTGCTGGTCACGCTCCTTTTGATGCAAATCATGAAAATGCATAAGGAAATTAAGTTCTTGGTTAAGAGAGTTAGCCTTCTCTTAATTGAGTTTTTGATTTTGGGGGAAGTAATGAGGGGGCTCAACAGAACTCCCTCTCCCTTGGACTTCTGGAGGGCAAACTATGGCCTGTTTAGGAGACTGGTTGAAAGAGTCCCTTGGGAGGTAGTCCTGAAGGGCAAAGGAGTCTAGGAAGGCTGGACATTCTGCAAGAAGGAAATCTTAAAGGCACAGAAGCACGCCATCCCCATGTGCCCACGAGATGAGCTAATGGGGAAGATGAGTGGTGTGGCTGAAGAGAGCTCTGGCTGGAACTCAGAAAGAAAAAGAGAATTAATGACCTTTGGAAGAAGTGACAGGCAACTCAGGAGGCCTACAAGGATGTCATGAGGTTACGCAGGAAGAAAATTAGGGCAAAGCCCCACTAGAACTTAATCTGGCTACTGCCATAAAAGACAATAAAGAATGTTTTTTTAAATACATTAGCAACAAAAGGAGGGCTAAGGAGAATTTCTGTCTTTATTGAATACTGGGGGGAAACACAATGATAAAGGATGAGGAAAAGGCTTGGGTGCTTAATGCCTTAGTAAGACCAGTTGTTCTCAGGGCACCCAGCTTGAAGACGGGGACAAGGAGTGGAACGAAGCCCCCATAATTCAAGAGGAAATGGTCATTTAGCTGCTACACTTAGGCATACACAAGTCTATGGGGTCATATAGGATCCACCAAAGGGCACAGAAGGAAGTGGATGGGATCCATCAAAGGATACAGGTGGAAGTGCTCACTAAGCAATCATTTATTAGCAGTCCTGGCTAACTGGGGAGGTTGCAGTTTACTGCAAGTCAGCAAATGTGATGCCTATCTAAAAGAAGGGCTGGAAGGAGGATCTGGGGAACTACAGGCCTCTCACTCTGACCTTGGTGCTGGGGAAGGTTATGGAACAGATCTTGAGCACCATCATGTGGCATGTACAGGACAACCAGATGATCAGCCACAGTCAGCATTGGTTTATGAAAGGCAGGTCCTGTTTAACCAGATTGATCACCTTCTGGGAAAAGATAACCTGTTTAGTGGGTGGGACAGAGCTGGATGTTCTGTGCCTCGACTTTAGTAAAGCTTTTGACAATGTTTTCCACAGTATTCCCCTGTAGAAACTGGCTGTTCATGACTTGGATGGGTGTATATTTCACTGAGTAAAATACTGGCTGGATGGCTGAGTCCAAAGAGTTGTGATGAATGGAGTTAAATCCAGTTGGTGGCTGGTCACAAGTGGATCAGAACTGGGACGAGTTCTGTTTACTGTCTTTATTGATGACTTGGATGAGGGGATCGAGTGCCCTCTCAGTAGGTTTGCAGATGACACCTTGTTGGGCAAGAGTATTGATCTGCTTGAGAGTAGGAAGGCTCTACAACGGGATCTGGACAAGATGGATTAATGGCCGAGGCCAACTATATGAGGTTCAACACGGCAAAGTGCCTGGTGCAGCACTTGGGCAACAACAGCCCCATGCAGCGCTACAGGCTTGGGGAAGAGTGGCTGGAAAGCTGCTCATGGAAAAGAACCTGGAGGAATTGGTCGAACTGGCTGTATGAGAGATCTGACTGGTGGATCCACTTAATTTTGTTTTACTGGATTAGCTTGTCACTGCTGGTGAAAAGTGCTAAGACTTTTTTTTTGAATAGTTAGACTCTGTGAGTTCTGTTCCAAATCAGTAAAAAGCCAAGTCAGTTCCTACACGTGGGTCGGGGCACAGCTACAGGTTAGCAGAGAAGTGATTCAGAGCAGCCTGAGGAGGGCTTTGGGGTGTTGGTCAATGAGAAACTGAACATGAGCCGGCTTCAGTGTGTGCTCGCAGCCCAGATAGCCAACTGTCCTGGGCTGCATCAAAAAGAGCGTGACCAGGAGGTGAAAGGAGGTGATCCTGCCCCTCTACTCTGCTCTTGTGAGACCCCACTTGGAGTATTGTGTTCAGCTCTGGTATCCCCATCATAAGAAGGACATAGAACTGTTGGAGCAAGTCCAGAGCGAGGGCCATGAAGACGATAAGGGGGCTGGAGCACCTCTTATACAAAGACAGGATGAGAAAGTTTGGGCTGTTCAGCCTGGAGAAGAGAAGGCTGCGTGGAGACCTCATAGCAGCCTTCCAGTATCTGAAGGGGGCTGTAGGTGTGCATACTGGAGAGGGACTCTTCATCAGGGAAAAAAAAGGTGAACAACAAAGCAGAATAAACATCTCTTTCAGTCTAAGTACTGTAAGATTTCTACTTCTGTGAAATGTACTTATTTATAAATAATGCATAATTGCAACGTAATGCTATTAATATGATAAAGAATCCTTGCTGCCTCTTTCCCTGAACCTGGTTGGTGGGACTTCTTCAGATTACATCTAAACTGTAGGTCCTATGAAGCTTTCCCAATTCAAGTGTGCACTCCTGTTATAAGCAGATAGCTTAATTTGATAAGTATGTGCCTGATAAACCTATGTAGCACAATGCCCCATGCACTATAGCTTGTATAGGAAGAAAATTCAGCTACACAGACAAGAACGATGCTATGATGCACTCTGACTTGTTTTTGTCTGGACAGTCAAGGGATCATAACTATGAACAGCTGAATGATTTAGACACAGATTCAGAGTCAACTTCTTCATGGATCTTAGGAAAACCCAGATGAGAGAAAGTTGCGTAAAAAAATGATAGAAAATATATCTGTTTTTTAATTGAAGGTGTGCTATGGCCTGCCTATAGGACTGTAATATGGTTTCACCTGTAATACAAGGTGGTTTTTGTTTTTCAAAAATTATATATACATGTAATCCTTCAATACACAAAGGATTGAATACTACCTCTTAGAATGTATGTGAATGATAAATTTGGAAAACTATTATGAAATTATCACATTGAAGTAATTTTACCTTGACATTTAGGTAATTTTATTTTTAATATTTTTGCTGGTTTGGCTGAGTAGTTATACTTTATAACCCACTAAATTGGTTAGCCATCCAACCATGCTATTTAAGTAGGTGGAGGGAACAAAGTGGGAGAAAAGTGCCTTTCTTTTAAAATGTATCTGCATAAAATTACTGTACTGAAACTAATGCCAGGTGAAGAATGTAGATAAAATTGGTATAAAGACTTTTTTTTCCTAATCTTGGATTACTTATGAAAATAGTCCACAGCATCCAGAAGTAAAACATGTCCCTTAAGAATTCTGACCACTTTAAAGCAGAATCATCTGTTAAAAACTAGAGTCATCTAGATTAGTGAAAGTGGAATGTATAGAGTATTTTAGGTCTGTCCCCTCCATAGTGATTTCAGAGTAGTAACTTAATTCGATTGTACTGATGTTTGTAATGCCGTATTGTGTGTTCTCTGTAGGAAAAAAGCTCAACTAAAGAAGAAAAGAGGTGTTCCAACTATTAATGAGCAGATGTTATTTCATGGCACCAGTAATGAATTTGTTGAAGCAATATGTATTCATAACTTTGACTGGAGAATAAATGGGATACATGCTGCTGTATATGGAAAAGGTAAGTATTTTTGCCAGATACAACAGTTCAGCAATCTCAAAAGTTGAACTTTGTGAAGTGTTCCCCATATTAAGTTCTTTGTGATACACTCACTGTGTTTATTCAAGAGCTGTTTAATATAGCTCTGCTTTTCCATCAAGTGTATTTTAAGAAAGTTAGGATGCAGTAAGGAATGTAATTACCAAAACTGGCCAGTAGGTCCAGGGAGTGTGTGCAGCAGCATTGCAATGGAAGCAACGTTAATCACAAGACAATCTCTCTACTAAAACATTCTCACTAGAAATATTTGGTAATGTTGCTATAATCTAAGGATTTGGGGAGTGCAGGGGGGAGGAGGGTGAGGGCGCATGAACATGAGAGTTCATGAACATAAGAGAACAGACATCTTTTATCATCCTAATACCTATATTCATGCTCTAGTAGTTAAGCTATCATAACAGTATAATCAGACTTTTTTTTTCTGTTTTTTTGAAAGGGACTTATTTTGCAAGAGATGCATCATATTCCAGTCATTTCTGCAAAGAGAACATGAAGCATGGAGATACTTTTCAAATTCATGGTGTGAACCTGCAGCCTCATCTGCACAGACCAGATAAAGTCATGTTTCTTGCTCGTGTACTAACTGGTGACTATATCAATGGTGATTCAAAATACATGAGGCCTCCTTCAAAAGATGGAAGTTTTGTGAACTTGTACGACAGCTGTGTGGATAATACCTGGAACCCAAAGATCTTTGTTATCTTTGATGCCAACCAAATCTACCCTGAGTATTTAATAGAATTTTCTTGACTTTGAAAGCAGCTGAACTGAATATCGTTTGTGTCTTTTTGATGTTCTTTTTGTAAAGACAACTATAAAAAACAGGAAGTGTGAGAGAGATGAAAGAAAAGCTAGCATGTGTTTATGGAGGAGGGGAGGGTATTAAACAGTTAAGAGAGATTGTTGAACTGTTTTTTAAGGTCTGTAAACTTTATTAATGCATTTTTCAAATGTAGATACCATTACAAATTTGAAATTGCTTAGTGAGCCTTAAAGACGCTGGACATTGGTAATTTTTCAAAGGCAAGATTTATGTTCTGATTTTTTTAATATATTTAAAGTATTTATTCATGTGGTAGAAATATGCCTGTAATACAGTATGCATATGATGAAACTAATCTTTTGTAAAGATTGTCTGTAGAACAACAACAAAAATGGGGGACTTTGGTGCATATTATGTCTGTATGTCTGTGTTCTGTAGTACACACTGCTTTGTGTTTGGAAGTCTCTTAGTTCAGATTCTAAACCTACAAAAAAAAATTATCTGGAGTAAACTGATAAAGGAGCTATAACATTCAACTGAAGCTGTTCTATTTAGGTACATTTTTTGAAAGCTTCAGTTACATACTTGCAAAGATTACAAAACTTCAGTTTTGATAGAAATTATGCCCATAAGTTCTTGTGGTTGTTAATTGTTTGATACGTTAACTGTTGAGCTTAGTGTCGGGACATCAGCAGTGCCCTACACCTGAGTTGTTATTCTATAGAGTTTTTGCCCTGCTGTTACAGCGTGTGTGTGCATTCATTTACATTCATGCTGCTTTGATTCTTGCCTTGTCAGGGTCTGAGAATCATTTGGTACTCGTGTACTTGCTGTTACTGAAGACAATGTTCAGATTAACTTTACTGGAATAATACAGTTAAACCAACATTGAGTGTTTAAAAAGATGACATCCTTTAATTTTTAAACATGTTAATAGAAGGTTTTCAATGACACTTGTGTAGATCAGGTTTTCATAACTGGTATAGTTGTAAAGCTAAAGGCTATCTTTCACATGTAGAAAGACCAAGGCACACAGTAAGTAGGGAAAGAACAAACTTGATTACCTTAACACATGAAGAACCTAAAGAAGGGGCTGTTGCAGTGAAATGCCCTGAAATGTTAAACAATTTGCTACAAAGTTGTTCTTCTAATGTTTTACTTTATTAAAGAACCTAAGGAGCAGTGAAGACATGGTCTAAGTGGAAGCCTTTTGAGGCTTCTCTTCTTTGGCTATTTCTCCTGAAATCTCACCATTTCATCCTAAGCAGTTTGGGAGTGTCTGTCTTCATTCCAGTTGATTTACAAGTGCAGTTTTTTACAAACTTCTTAAAATCTACAGAAATAAAAGGATACACCTTTATTTTTTTAAGAGTTGTCCCAGTACCCCCATATTCAAGCTAGATGTGAGATACATTAGGTACCAGGTGGAGTTAGTGACTTAAATTCCAGGAGGACAGTGGATGCCAGTTCAGCTGGTAGTTTAAGGATACCTCTGATCCCTTTAAGCCATTGTCAGCGCACAAGATCATAATAGGAAGATTAAAATGAATTTGTGCAGTCTACATAGGTGGAGATTACTTTCAGTGTTTCTCACTGGCCTAGACAGACTGTACAGCTGATAAGGGCAGGGAGCCAGCTCTACAGTCCATCTATGGTACACGTAAGCATAGACTCTTTCAGTCTGTGCCATGGTACATTTCTTTTTACTCGACATTCCACAGTTTGCTAAACCATAAACCAGTCCTAAAACCATACTGCCATTAAAAACCTTGATCTACTCTCCTGAGGGAAAGGTATCCTGGATCAAATCCAGGTTGGAAACGACCTAGAAGATCATTGAGTCCAACCATTACCCCAGGGCTGCCAAGACCACCGCTAAACCATATAACTGAGGGGGCTCTTTCCACTTTCTTGGGCAGCCTGTTCCAATACCTGATTACCCTCTCCATGAATAAAATTTTCTTAATATCAAATCTAAGCCTCCCCTGGCACAGCTTGAGGCCATTTCCTCTTGTTCTGTCACTTGTTACATGGGAGGAGAGGCTGACCCCCAGTTCGCTACAGCCTCCTTTCAGGTAGTTGAAGAGAGCCTTCTCTTCTCCAGGCTAAACCCCCCAGTTCCCTCAGCCATTCCTCATCACACTTGTGCTCCAGGCCCTTCACTGGCTTTGTCGTCCTTTTCTGAACCAACTCCAGCACCTCAGTGTCTTTCTTGTAGTGTGGCGCCCAAAACTCAATGGGGTGCAGCCTCACCAGCGCCCAGTACAGGGGAATGATCACTGCCCTGGCCCTGCTGCCACACCATTGCTGATACAGGCCAGGATCCCATTGACCTTCTTGGCTGCCTGGGACAAGCTGGCTTTTGTGATTCTGTGTTCAGCAGCCATCAGTCAGCACCCCCAGGTCCTTTTCTGCTCTGCAGTTTTCCAACCACTCTTCCCCAGGCCTGGAGCATTACATGGGGCCCAAATGTAGGGCCCATCACTTTGCCTTGTTGAACCTCATACCACTGGCCTCAGCCCATCGATCCAGCCTATCCAGATCCCTCTGCAGAGCCTTCCTGTTCTTCAGCTGATCAACACTCCTGCCCAACTTGGTGTCGTCTGCAAATTCACTGGGGGTGCAGTCGATCCCCTCATGCAGATCATCAGTGAAGATATTAGACAATACTGGCCCTAACAGCCCCAAGGGACACCACTAGTGACTGGTCACCAGCTAGATGTGATGCCATTTACCACCATTCTGGCCAGCCAGACAGTTTCCAACCCAGCGAAGAACCACTTATCCAGGCCATAAGCAGCCAGTTTCTCCAGGAGAATGCTGTGGAAGACAGTGTCAAGTGCTTCACTTATGTCCAAATACAAAATATCCACAGCCTTTCCCCCATCAGCCAGGCAGGTCACCTTGTCACAGGAGGAGATCAGGTTGGTCAAGTAGGACCTGTTCCTCATGAGCCTGTGCTGACTGAGGCTGATCCTTCAGTTTTCCCACATGTGCTTTATGGTCTCACTTAGGATCATCTGCTCCATGACCTTCCCTGGCTGATGCTTTCCTGTTTGCAGGTTCAAACAGTGACAAGGCTACACACCGCTCCCCTCCATCCTCACCTTCCCCACCCCAGCACCTACATACAGGACTCATATACAAGACAACAGCTGTGCTCATCTGTGAGTGCATGACTTCTATTGTAGTTACAGTAGGTTTTTATAATTTAAAGGAGTCCTTAAGAGAAGGACCACCTATTTACCTAAAGCATACATTGAGAAAGACGGCATTAGTTGCAGTAGCCTTGTATAGGGCTTAAGGCGTATGTTTGGGGGCAGTAGTTATAAAATGCACTTGTCCTTCAACCTACTTATTCACCTTTCTATCCCTCACTTCCCATTCCACCTCTTCTTTTATGTTTAAAGCACATATGGAGTGCATTTTGCAGCTGAGCTTGACAAGTACCCCCAAATGTCCTTTGTCATATGTTAATGCAGTTTATTGTATTAAGTGATGTGTTTAGGTTACAGACCTGGTGGTGACCAAGTAGCTAGTACGTGTATTTTTGTTTTCATGTCAATATCTACCTGTCAGCTGGTGAAGGTTGTCCAAGAAAGTAATCCCAACTGAGAACAGTTGCTGCAAATTAGGCTTTCAAAGGATGACTGGGCATTTGAGACACTGTAATATTATCTACGCATTAACCAGGGAGATTATTTTTAAAAGAGTTTTTTCTATAAGAATGCTGGCCTACAAATACTTTAATCAAAGGTTTTGTGTTAACAGAACTGTTGATAATACTGCATCCCTGACTGTCAACTAATTGCTAGATGTATGTAAGGGTGACTTAAATAGCAGCTCAGGTATGATTTTTTTTTTAGGGTTTTTGGGTTTGTTTTTTTTTTCAGTATAAGAAATATGACCCAAAGCAATGGAATAAGACAAGGGCAAGAGAAGGAAAACACAGGGAAAAAATAGATTAATGAGACAAAAATGGTTATGTAAGTGAAATAGTGCATGTGTGTGCATGTATACTGGGGCTGGCGAGTGGAAGCAAGAACAAGAGAGAATGCAAAAATATTACTGCTTTAATCTGTCCTTTAAATATTTTGAACTCAGTTTTCATGCTGATGATCTTCCTGAATGTTCAGCAACCTTACGTATTCCCAGTGGGACAGAGTATTGGATGAAGAGTCAGAGTACCTGTAGTCAAATTTGCATTTATTTTGGCACTTCATGATGAGGACAGACTTACAAAAATGGTACATAAATGTTGCAGAACAGTCAGAAGTGAGAGCTGTAGCTACAGCAATCTCTTCTAATCACTGGTGTAAAGAGCATTGGGATAGCAAAGGGTTGCTATCTGCTATAAACGTAACTGGTTTCTCGTGGGGCCAACATGCTTCCTGGAATATCCCCACACCAGTGATATTGTCTTTGCATGTTATCTTGTCTTTGCATGGAAAGTGTGTGAACACTAGAAGCAAGGACAGGTGACATAAGAGGATAGAGATGCTGTTCACCACCACAGGGGGAAAATTCATGTGACCAAAGCTCAATTATAATCCAAGGTGGCCAGCACTATGAAGGCCCAAAAGGGCTTTTTCAAATATGTTAATAGCAAAAGCAGAATCAGAGATAACATCGGTCCATTGCCTGATGGGGTCAGTCACCTCACAAATAGGGACATAGACAAAGCAGAGGTGTTTAATGCCTTCTGCGCCTCTGTTAACACCAGTGGTGGGCCCTGTGTCCCCTGGAACCCAGTGTTGGAAGGCCACGACTGCAAGATGATAAACTGCCAGCCAGCCCTCAACTTGTTTGAGACTTGCTGCTCATCTAGCTGGGTGTGCAGAAAGCTACGGGGCCCAATGGGATTTAACCCAAGGGACTGAGAGAGGTGGTTGGCTCCACTACTTTTCAATGGTTTTGGAAGTCTGGAGAGATCCCAGTCAACTGAAAGCTCCAAATGTTGTCCCAGTTTTCAAGAATGGTGAGAAGGAAGACCCCAGTAGTTATAGTAC